CAACACAAAGTCTTTTTTGTTGTTCAGTGTTCACACAATAAAAATCACTGCACGCTGAATAATAGTTACAGCTACCAAGATATTTATACACTTTACTGAATACCTAAAATAACTGCACATAGTTGAGTTCTTCTTCCTAGACATGGCATGAAAACAGTTAGCATGTAGAAAGCAGACAGCCATTTATAGTCACATAGTAGTACAACGTGTAGATGCTTCCACTAAAGCTCTACTACACCTTCATCTGTTCCACAACCAGCTCCTCCAGAGTACCCAGGATTTCCACTCTCCAATTACGTAATATTATTTTATCTTTGGCTTTTTACTTTCCCTCCTCGCAAAACTCTCTCTCATCTCCATAGCGACAAACTCTCGTCCATGCTTCACAGAAATAATTGTTGGCTCCTGCATCAAATGGTTGTTCTGTGTATCTTTAAAATTTCATAACCTGTGCGTCTGTGCCTACCTTTGGTATACTTAACATAAAAGCCCAAGGCCTCTGACTTTTCTATTTATGTCCTTGGGGGGTTGTGTGCCGCCTATAAGCCGAGTTGGAAGAGGGTTGACTGCACCGTCTAAGACAATCTTTTGTATGAGAGCAGGATCATCACAGTGTAGAGCAGAAGGGGTTAGCCTCATATTCTGGTACCACATAGAAAAATCCTTTATCAGTTTTTTTAAAATATATAATGATACATAGTTAATGCAATCTCTTTAAAGGCACTAAAAACATATTTTTTCAATTGGCTTTTTATGAGCGATGGGGTCCTATATGAACACACTGTTTACTGCCACAGTTGGAACAGTTTTGTTTATTTCACATCAGAGATTTCTGTATTTTTGGTTTTCTCCATGCTCTTCTCATTGGTTTACAGTGGGTGGGATTGATAGGAAAAAGGTGATGTCACTTCCTTCTGTGGACTAATCATAATTTTGTTACGTTTGAATCAGAAAAGTTTGTAACTGTTAAATTCCTGCCTAAATAAATTATAATTATAAATTATAAATACTACCTAAATATGAGATCATGCTGGTTTCTTCTTATTTAGTCATGGATATTTAATGTTATATAGAAATACATTAGATTTAAGCTTTTAAGATTAAGAAGTTTTCAGGGGCTTTAAGTCACCATCCAGGGACCTGTGCTGCATTGCTTTTCTCCCTCGTTTTCTGTCGGCTCTTTCCTGTTTGCTATTGGCAAAAAAAACAAAAATTAACCCTAAAATATAAAAAAGACATCATGATTAGGGCATATTTATTGTCTGTGCTCATTGTCCCACAAGCAGGAAATAACATGTGTTACCTGGTTAGACACAATGTGTTAACTTCTTGTTTTATTTTTGTAATAAAATCATTGAAATTGATCTACATGCTAAAATGTAGTGTGACGCAAAAGTCATACAGTCAGCAGACAGTTATAGTAATGGCATTCACACAGCAGCAGTCCACATTTAGCAAACTAAAAGCTAACACTGGCCACCACATTGGTAATACCAGACCAAGTGAGGTTGTAGCAGCAGTGTATTTATTTATGAATTCAACTTTTCATTTGTAAGAGGAGGAATGTGTTATTTCTTCTTTAAAAAGTTACATACTTACTTTTCTTTTAGACTCAAACTTTGATTAATGCTTCTTCAGCAGTTGATATTTATTGATATAAATGAGGACTGAAGATTCAAATGTAGGTCCTTGGGGGCTTTAATGATTGTGGATATTTTGGTTGTTGTATAGAAATTTCTTTAAGAACACAAGACGGAAATTCATCAAATCATCCTAAAAAAGCTAGATTGTTCAAAGAGAGTAAAACTCAGGCTTGACCTGATTCAATGCACCCTGTTATCTCCCTTAAAATGTCAAGTACCTGAATACGCTGATCAGGGCATGAAAGTACTTATATATATTACGTCCTTGAATCCCAGAGATTAGAATTTCCATTTTAGGCGAAAAGCCTCTGGAAAGCCAAACATCACATGCTGAGTGTAGAAAACTGGAAAGGTTACTGAGCCTTATCTGCAATTATGCAAAAACACAGAGATTGGCCAAACCCATGTTCATTGGTACAAAGGGAATCTACAATGCCTTGATGTTGCTTACAGCATTCTCTTCTCATGTGTAGCATACAGCACATCCTAGAGGAGAATATAGGAAAGAACAGCTGACTATACACAAGTCTCACCGTGTCATGTTTTGAATTATGAACACAGGCAATTAAACTTTAAATCCCCCCTATAGTAAAATGATAGAGAAGGCTAATTAACAAGCATTTTTTAAATTGGTTTTAATTCAGGAGCTTCTCATTTGCACGCAAAAAGAGGAATGGTTTTAGACATCTATCTGGTTCAGTTACACCCAGGCTTTGTATTTAATTTTAACACTAAAAACACAGCTTTACTCCAGCACTACAAATAAATATCAAGAAAACTGTAAAGCTTCCCTCTCTGTGACCCTTTTCTTCTATCAGCTACATTGACATGCTGCTAAGATGTTGACAACTCTTCTGCACCCATTGTGTCAACTGTTTCATTCTCAGAGGAAGAAAGACTCAGGAAATAAAATTTGGTACATGGGTCACATGGAAAAACCTGCTCTCTTATCCTTTCATCAACACCTGGGAATATAAATAGTTCAGTTTAAAAATAATGGCTTTCATCTTCAATTATGCCTCTGAATATTCAATATGAGAGCAATGGTGCCCCCTTGTGTAAAATATAATTAATAGTCAGATTTTGACATGCAGGTAAGGTAGACTCTAATAGAATCTGATGACAGAGAGTGTATGCAAAGCTTAAAGACATACAGGATTTGTTTTACCTGTTATCACCTCCATAGCACGTTCTGAGTTACAGTGTGTTTTGAACATTTTTATTCCACACTCATACAGTTTCCTCTGCAGTAAACTTGTATTGATTCTCTCAGAAGTGCAGGGCACTCCCTCTGTCCGTCTTTAGCCTGCTCTTTAGACCGACTGCAGCTCTATCCTCCGCTGTCAGAGCTCTGGGCACACTGCACTGGCGTGGGCTCAATCAGGCGGCCGTATGACAGCACTGTCATAACCTGCAAAAATGTACCGTGTGATGTGTATTTAGAGAATAGAAGACAAAATGTTTTCTTAAGCTGCAGTTTTGAATAGTTTCTAATGGAGTAGGTACATACAGGGGTCAAAGCATTAACCATGTGAATTCTTGCACATAGTTGATGAGAAGATTGATTGACCAATCTTACGTCTGTACTGTAAATAAGAAGCTACAGCTAGTAGTTAGTTATCTTAGCAGGAAGTGACGCACATGTCATGCAGTGTGCACGCATTTCACAAATCAGTCATCTTTACACCATTTTTAGCATTTGCATAAACAAATTCTAACATGTTAATTAGTGAGCTTTAGAGGTATTGGTAGGCAGACTAGAAACTGAGGGAAACCGCTAGCCTGGCTGTCAGAAGCTAAAACATCCATCTACAGAACCCTAAAGCTAATTAATTAACACATTATGTCTTTTTGAGTAATTCTGTAAAAAAAACTGTGCGTGTTGTTTTTGCACTTCGGGTTGTGTGTAGTTTATACAATTAAGATATAACATGTTTATTAGTGAGCTTTATAGGCGCTGGTAGGTGAATTTTGTTACCTTTGCAGTTTGCTCAGAGCCAGACTGGCTGTTTCACCATCTTTATGCTAAGCTACACTAACCAGCTGTAACTTCATGTTTAGTGGACCGATATGAGAGAGGTATTGGGAAGAATCGTCTTTCTTTGCAAGAAAGCGATATTTAGGTTGTTGTATATGAGTTTCTGAACACAAGACAGCTTGCCATTTCCCTTTTGCCAGTCTTTGTGCTGAACTAAGCTGACTAGACGCTGGCTCCCGCTTCATAGTTACTGTACAGATGTGACAGTTGTATTGATCTTCTCATGTCACCCTTCCCTAAAACATTGAACTCCTTCTTTGATTAATCATGTTACCAATTTTCTATCAGTCTGATGCTATTAAATACTCAAACGAGCTGTGCTCTACTTACTGTGATCATTATGAGGAGAGCTAGCATCATGCCCAGCATTATGTACAGGTTATTGGTCAATCCTCCTGCCCACAAGGGACCCAAGATGGTGGCCAGGCCCCCAACTGAGCGCCTGACACCTTGGCTGAATCCTTTTTGTGACACAAAGATTTAAAGGTTATTCCTTGCTGCTAAAGCATTCAAATATGGCTAGAAAATACAGGATTTATAACTGTTTCTTTGCATCACATATGCTGAGGTAAAATGGTAATATTCCTTGCCAACCTTGTGTTTTCTCTGCAGTGACTTTGGAGAAGAGAGACACCTGAGACACAGCCACGAAGGGAAGCCCCAGCAGCTGCAGAAACACTCCGATGATGAAGGCAGACAGCTCCCATCCATAACCACCTGGCGGGGATGGAAAGATGATACCCTGGATTACTGAATTACAGCTTTTTGCCCCCAAATTATATAAAACATATCATTCAACAATTGCATTTACAGACTGTTATCTAACACCAACTCTCACATACAGGAAATTCATTTATTTATAGATCCTTTAGGGATTGTGTTATAATATTTTGTTATTCTTATGCAGTGATAATGATTCAAAGTGTGTGACAGTTGTCCATCCCTTCTTCTCTTGGTTTTTAAGTTCCTTTCACAAATGGGTTGGCACCACCAGAGATAGCTCTATCTGAAAACAAAACCACTGCCAATCTGGCAGCCACTAAATTTTTGTTCTCTGCTGCTTTGCATCATGCACATGTTTGTGTGAATTTGTGCCCACTCAAACTGTTGGATGTTCCTGCATAAGCTGAAAGTCTATAATCTTATAATCAAGATGCAACAATCAGACGTGTTCCTTAGAGGTTAAACTTATTTTTCTTCAGGTATCTGTCTGTAAGGCTCCATGTCTTTGTTTTGTTGTTTAAACTGTAACAAATAGCAAACAAATGTAGGATATGCCTTAACAAATAGTATTTTTGTCTAATTAGATTACTGTAATCCTTTTATATGTACTCAGGCACTCCCCAGCTCCAGCACCTGTCACTTGTAATCAGAGCGATAAACGTGACAAGCTGCAACGGACGCAGGCCAACATGAACATACAGGATCCAGTTTGCCTGTATGATCTCCTGCTGGCCTGCCAGAGCCTGAGTGATATCATTTACAGAGCACATTCAATTCAGCCAGTGTGTAACCCAATATGGCTCCCCTGCACTCTACACACCAACGCCAGTCGCACAGAAAGGATTTGGCATAGAACATGAGGCTTTTTTTTTTTTTTAAGTCTGTGTGTGCCTTCGCATTGCATGTGTGTTTGTGTGTTTTCCCGGACAGGTTAGCACCTCGGGGGTTGCAGAGGAAGATCAGGCACCAGATACAGGCGGCGCAGCAAATGACCAGGCCCACGGCCAGCACTACGCGGTCCTCCACCTTCCTGCTCAGCCAGCGTACAAAGAAGAAGCCCAGGATGACCTCCACCCCGCACAGACTGTACATCAGGCTGTTGGCCAGCTCACCAAAGCTAAAGTAGCGCTGCGTCAGAGGAGTCACCATGGTCTGGGGATTTTTTAGAAAGATGTTCGCAAGGTCAGTTAGTTAGACAAGGTGATTTAGTCAGAGGCAGAGGTGGAGATTCTTATTAGAGCTGAAACGCGCACCTTTTAAGTCCTTCATTCTGTCCCGATCAAAAGAATTGTTCTGTTTTGATATTAAAATGATTATATAATCCAGGTCAGCATTGTGCGACTATTCAGCCTCTACAGTTTAATGAGAAGAGAAAAGGCCTCTTCATTTTTAATGTCCAGTACATAGAGACTGATTATGTGCACTTGTTACATCAGTTTTACTTTGAGCGATAAGCGATATTTGATTATTTTCTTAGAGTATCAGCGCAGGTCTTTCCAGGTAAGGCTCAGATTGATGCAGTTTGGATGAAACTCGGGGTAAAATAGTGTGACATTGTGTGAAATGCTTGGAAACTCCGGCTGATGGATCTCAACGGTAGCTGCTCTCACCTCCAGCGCTGTCTGATTGAAGAGAGTGATGAACTGAGCCGTGAGGAGAACAACCACCTCCTCTCTCAGGAACTCTGCAGAGTGAAAGACAGAGAGATATACACTCAGAACCGGAGAAACCAAAGAGAAAATCATAAAACAAGCTCAAGTGGTGGCATTAAATTCAAAGTTTCAACTGGCAAGTTAGATTGAGATAAGGAAGTTTAAAGAGAAAAGAAAACTTGGACTATCTGAAGGTAATCTTAAAATTGAAAGAAGCAGGCGTGACGAATCCTGGCCGGTTGGTCATGTTGATCCTCCAGCCCAACAAACTGCCTATTTCTTTCTCTACAGATAAGTGCAAGCTCTGTTTTTTTCTTATGTCCAAAACATGATAACACAAGAAAAAAAAAAGTTTTTCCACAAAATCCGAATTTTGACACCAGCTTTTCCTGGAACAAAAACTCCCTTATGGACTTGGAAAGGAGGAAAAATGAGCTGGGCTTGCTGCTAAATTTGGAAGTATGTGCCAGATGGCTGGAGGAATGGCTTGATAGTACAGTGTGTGATCTGCTTTGGTTCAGTTCTCTCTGTACAGTGTTTTTACGATTATTTGTATGATTTAATTTTTGCACTACTACCGAGTATGTACGGTATGTGTATTTTAATATGTGCGTGTATGTGTGTATTCACAAGATCTACTTAGGTATAGGTAGGTTGATATGAGTTTAACATATATCATATGCATATAAAGGGGCTATTAAGTGACTTATCATTACACTTACACAATGTTGGGAGACTTGGAAGAGAGAGATTTTAAAAAATCAATACAGCAGAGGCCGAGATATCCTGATCTTTGCTCCCTTGTGTGAATCAGGTTCTTAAAACACCGAACCCTACAACTTCATACTTTTTGAATCCCCGGATTGACACAGGTTAGCTGTTTCCCCATGCATCGAGCCTTTATGCTAAGCTAAGCTAACCAGCTGCTAACTTAATATTTAAAATAAGATAAGATACACTTTGGCGCACAAACATGACAGTAGCATCCATTATTAAGCCATTATTCATTGTTCATATATATATAACTTATTAATGCTAAATATTTTCCTTGTTCCAAAAACAAAAAACATCACACAGGTTCTTCTTGTGTTGTCTCGGTTGCATGACTCCAACCACAAATGAAAAGACTTGATGAAAGAAAGTGAAAGATCTGCCGGAGTTTCAAGGATTCCTCACTCATACACAAAAAGTTGAGGAAGATCAATAATTCAGGAGAGCGAATACCAGACACACTGCAACGGCTAACAGACACTCCTACAGTGTGTGCTAGAGCCGCAGACTTCCTCCAGTTTTGCTCCTGAGTTTCTGGTGTTGTAGATTTTCTTCAAAACAAAAAGGAATCAATAAGAAGAATGTTGGCCACATTACCAATTCTGTCTCCATTTCATCCACAAGTCAACCACAGCAAGCCAGTCAATAAAAAAGGAAGTCTGCTATCCATCCCTTTGCCACATCTTCAAAGAGTGAGAGAATCAATACAGAGGTTTGACACACACACACACACACAGACTAACAAAGTACAGAAAAAGTTAATCAATAACGGCACGCAATCACTGCTTGCATCCCATGTAAAGTTACTATGACACTAATCCAATAAGACACCTGACATCATATATATATACATACACACTCTGACATAAACCAGACACATACACACAAGTCCAATCAATACACAGGGAATCTGATCTGACATACCACACAGAATTCCTCAGAGAGACCTGGAGAATGAAAAGTGTGTGTAAGCATGAGTGTGTGTGCGTGTGTGTGGGTGTGTGCTTGTATGTGCATGCAAGAAAATCAATAGAGCAGATACAAAACATGTGCATTGGCAGTGACACCTCTTCCTACCTGAACCCCGTGAATAGAGCAGAACAGAGCTGACAATCATTGCTTCAGACAGCCAGTCAAACCTGCTCGCTCACCTCTGCTGGCGCTGAAGTTCTTGAAGGGGTCTGAGACCGCTGAGGCACCGTGGACGGGCTGCATCTCAGATGAGGTGGAGGTCTCCAACTGGTCGGAGTTGACAGCTCTGTAGGTGTGCACTGGCTCCTCGTCGGACCCCACCAGCGGCACCTCCTCCTCATTATTCTCCTCTTGTTTCATCTCCACCATCACGGCTCCCCCCTCTGAGCTGATGGGTGGTACATCCCAGTACATGGCCAGGACAACAAACTGGACCAGCACCCACAGCAGACACATGAAGATCTGAGAGAAAGGAGGAAGAAAAAAATGACTCAATTCATTCCTCTTCATTCATGTCCTCTAATATTTGAAAATAATTCTTTTTACACCATCAAAATCCTTGAAAACTATCAGGAGAGATAGAGTATTTGATATATGGAGAGTGTTCAAAAAATGAAGCAAACCTGGCACAGTGAAATAAAAAGAGACATGCAGTGTCAAATTATGTGGAAAAATGGAAGTAGGCGTATGGAGCTTTGTTATATCTCATTTAAGCTACATCCGTTCTACAGGTGTTTTATTCAGAGAGACTCATGAGATGGAAAGAGATCGATACGGGTTGTTATGGGCCTGAGTATCACTGCAGGCGTTTTGTATTCTTCTTACTCAAAGCAGAACAAAGGGGGGAAAAAATACATGTGAACCAGGAGGAGTGCAGAATTTAGAGTGACTTTCTGAAGATTGTTTCCGTATTCATGAGGCTTTCCAAGAACCTTAGATTACTGATTATCTGGATGCTGTTACCCCAGGAGATGTATATTTGTTCACAACAAAGGGCCCCAGTTTGAAATCACACAGCCGCAGGAACAAGTTGAACGCCGGCCCTGGAGAGACAGGAGAAAGAACTTTAAAGAGGAGATGGAATAAAAACAGAGGATGTGTGGAGACAGGAGCCTCCACCTCAGTGATTTTATTGAATGTCTCCTTCTCACACTTGAAGCTGAACATCAAAGACGACATCACAAAATCTTTCCCGGTGTCTGATATTTGTCAGAAGACAGAGGAGGTGGAAAGAGGTGAAATGACACCCCTCTCTGTGGTAAGATGAAGGGGCGAAAACTGACCGACAAGGAGGCCAGCTTGTCGGCAGGCCATGATGGCTGCAAAGATACCAGCACGTTCCTCTGGCCGGGTGCTCCGAGTCAGGAAACCAAAGATGGAGGAGCCTGCTCCTGCACCAACACCTGAGAGGAAAACAGCATCATTCTGTTACACCTTTGACAACGTATACGCATACTGATACAGCACATGCTTAGGGTGTTTCATGACATGCATGCACGTGTGCGTGCGTCACCTGCTACAAGCCGACTGCATAACAACAGCCACTTTGAATATCCAATAAAATACATGAAGTTCCCTGAGGACAGATGAAAAACAAAAATCATTCTTGGAAACCAAAATGCATATCCAGTGTGAAACAAATGTTGTGTCCAAAATTGTTATAAAAATTCTAGAAGCATGGTCCAGACCGAAATATTTCCACAACAATTGAATGGATTGCCATGATATTTTGTACAGACATTCATGGTTTCAAACGAAGCCTACCGACTCTGGTGATGCCCCGACTTTACCTCTAGTGCCTCCAGCAGCTGAATAATTACTTTTACTATTAACCCCCAAGGGGGAAATTAATTTTTTTCACTACATTATGCAAAAGGTTTGTGATTTTGAGTTAAATTAGATGCATTAAACGTGTCTAGCGTCGTCATCAGGTCATAAGTTAAATCTATCCAACACTGTAATGTAATATACCTGTGAACCTGACATTTCCATAAGTCTCAGCTGTACACATGCTGCTACACATTTTAGCTTGTATATAGTATTAGTAGCTAGTATGGCGGAAGATCCTTAGTCTAACTTTAATCCACTAGTGTGCAAATTATTTATTATTATTTATTTATTACACATTTAAATTTAAAAAGCTGCTGACTGAATGACCTACAATTTTCTATTTTCTTTTTTAGTTTACCATCAAAGACACTTTCTGACAAAGCCCAACTATGAACACACAGTCTGGCCAGTGGCTTCTAAAATCATGTGTCATGTGACTTGTCTTGTGGTCTGATTACTCACCGGCAATCTCAAAAAGATTGGAGAACAGGATGATGGACTTTGTACTTTTGCTCCGGTCTGACCAGAACCCAAAAAGCGGGCCTGTGAGCAGCCCGGTCAGACTGAAGGCAGACAGACCCAGACCCAGGAAGTAAGGAGGGGCCTCCAAAATCTGGAGATACCTCCATATCGTAGGCAGAATGACGGCTGAGACACCCAGAGAAGGATGAAGGAGGATGAGTGTGAAAGAAAATGAGGGAGATGTGTAAATGACAGGCCTCACTTACCCACAGCAAAATATATTTCAGTTAAATCAGATGCTGTATCCTCTGTGATGTGTGCTTACAGCCAAAATGCCAGGCAGAAAGTGCTCTAATGAGATCATTATCTCATGTCTTCAAGTCTGTAAAACCATCATAATGAACTTACCATACTCAATGCCGCTCAGCATAAATATCAGTCCAATGGTAAGAAAAGTTAGATTCCTCTTTAGGTGATTATCCATTGTGCTCAGTGACCAGTTGCCTTTTATACACCGACCTCTGTCTGCGTATGTTGTTCAGAAATGTTGTTCAGTGGCATGATCAGATAACAGGAGACACTGTGAGTCCAATTACAACTGCCGGCCTGGATAATCAGAGGAATTTGTTGCACCATTGTACAAGGTCATTTCAGAACTTCTCAGATAAAAAAAAGAAGATCACACGAGGCTTTTCCTATAGAAGAGGCTCAGCATGGGTGAGACCTGAAATGCAGTACGGAATACATCAAATCAACAATAAACCCAATAGAGTCCAGTTTAAAATGATTGCAGTAGTCCTTTCCCATTAGGCATTTATGTTAAAGATGAAATTCTGTTTGAGTCACGTCCGCAGTGCGGCACCACACTGTGAGCCTCACGGTCAAGGCAATGCCTCAGGTTACCAGGTGAGGTAAAGTACACAGAGCTTTATACATTTTTAATCTTGTTTTCTTCAGTTTCGTCAAAAGCACTTGATTCTCCCACAACCCTATGAAGAAAGTGTGCCATGTCCGTCGGCCCCCTTGTAGGTTATAGATATGAATAACTCTGCTGTTTTATAAAAAGAGACTCCATTTGCCAGTTCACAAACACAATACATCACACACAGTAATAAAAACACACAGGTAATAAAATATATCAGATAAACCAATATTACATTTACTCGAATATAAAGCCTCACACCAGAATGCTTGATAAAAGGTTGAGAAAAATATAAAAAAAAAACACTCTTTTGTATTCAATACTGAATAAATTAGGTATGACATCGCTGTCTGTTTTATTGAATCGTTGGCTCCGTTTTCAAGCTGCTGTGGTGTTCCTAGCCTTGGGCTTGTTATATTAAACAGAACTGTCACCAAGTTAATACCTCCATATGTTTTTCCAGCAAGGCATGAATAATACAAAGACTTTCGATTGTTTGAATAACATATATAAACTCCTCGCTCAGCATCCTGCACTCATATCACACAGTGTCGGGACACTCTGACAGGTTTGGAGCTCAACAGGCCAACAGGATTATGAAATGTCGCAGGACACATGTGTTTGGGTCAGTATCTATTTTTACGTGTGTAAAGGTGGTTGATCTGGCATACAATTTCAACTTTACACTTTCTCTTCTGCTCTTTTTTCCAACTGACTCAATAGAGAACGTGTACTCACCTGTGCAGTGTCATCGTGCTGTTTCGTTCTGTGTAGAAAGTGAATAATCAAGAAGAGATTTATTCTGCTTCTCCATGACAAATTGATGCATGCAGCTGAGCGTCACGGGCCCACTGAGAGGCCATTAGCATCCTACCTGCCTTACCTGTGGTGGTTTCTATAGAAACACACATGAGGCTGGAAGGTGTTGTTGCACTCACCTTTGAGCCTTGGTAAACAACAGGGAGTTCCCCCGGTGAATAAACTGCAATCTAGTCCACTCAGTCAGTCGCCGCTTTGCACTGGAGCCTGTTGGAGATACAAGATGATCAGCTACTGAGGAGCATTTGACTTTCAGATAGAGGGGAGATTGTTAGGTGGATACACATACTTGGGGGCTGGGAGGTGGCTGAGATAGGAGTGGGCATGTTCTTGAGTACAGCTTCTCCCCGGAGATCGTTCACCATCCCCATTAACATCAACCTGCAGGGTGCTCGGAGGCGGCAGACACGGTAAGAGAGGACGATGGACAAGGCCAGACAGCAAGGCTTTGAAAACACTGTTGGGAGGTCATTATGAAGCAAAAACACAGGTGAAGCTGAACAAAGCTTCACATTCAGATTTCCAATTCTTAGGCACATATGAGAATGCATGATTATACACACTGCATCTGTCTGTTGTGGGTGTAAAAAACAGATGACACCCAATAGACTAATATTGCATTAAAGGGGGACTCCACCGATTTTGCACATCAAGTTCAGTTTACCTGTCCCAAGGAGTAACACTCAGCCTGTGAAGTTGTATAATGACTTCTGTGACTCTGGAGGAACTATCCAAAAATAAATAACATCTGATGAGGTCATCAGGGTCTGCCATTGGGCTTGAAATCTTACATTTTTTACCAGAAAGCCTGTGTTATGGGCTGGGAGTGTGGAGTTTGAAAGAAGGATTTTTACAGGCTTAGAAGAAAAATGCTATTATATTGCATTATAGGATATGTATCCACATTTTTGAGAGCTTGACTGATAAGATGGACTTGAAGTAAAATCTCAATCTTCAAATTTTAAAGGTTCAGTGTATAGGATTTAGTGGCATCTAGCGGTGTAGATGCAGATTGAAACTCACTTGCTTCAAGTGCAAGGGAGAAACTACAGTGACTGTGAAACGCACAAAAACACGAATGGCCCTATCTGGAGCCAGTTTTTGGTTTGTCTGTTCTGGGCTACTGTAGAAACAAGAAGGATCAACACGGCGGACTCCATCGAAGGCGACCCACAGTGTTTGCAGATAAAAACAGCTCATTCTAAGGGAATGAAATACCAGATACCTGCAAAACTAAATGTCTCAGCAGCCTCAGCATGTGTTAACTAAATAAAAAGAGGAGATCCTGGAGGAAGACAGTAAATCGGGGGTCTTAGACGTATATTGGTTTGGGGCCACTGCTGGTATTGTCATCTGATAGGAGAGCCACTTCAACAGTCAAGTACAACAAGAAAACGCAATATTCAGAAAATATTTCCCAACATCATGCTTAACAAAAAACTTCAAAAAGCAGTTTCTATACATTTGTATATCATTTATATCATTATTATATCATTTTATCATCTTTCATCTGAAATAAAGCTCCTGAAAACCTGCTCTTTTCCTTTGCATGCATTTGTGGCCACCTTTGACTGTTGCCATTATTTCGCACTAAATTAAATACATTTATTAAAATAAAATTGTGTTTTTATTTTATTATATAGATATGAAACAACAATATAAAAATTGTTAAAAATAATAATAATTTTGCAGGCTTGATTATATTATATTTTTCATATCTTTCATTATCATGTCACAGTCCAGAGGGAGACCCCTGCAGTAAAAGAAATTATATAGACACAAGCTGCTTCCATTTGAACCTGAAAATAAAATCTATTCAGAAACTTTTTGTATTTTAGCCCTGAAGAGGAATCATGTAGTTTGAAAGAATGGAAAATTAATCAAATAAACCAAATCAATGTATGAGTCAAACATGAAATTTGCTGATGCATCAAATCAAAAATCTAATTTGTATCACTGTTGGATTAAATCATTACGTGTGTGTGTGTGTGTGTGTGTGTGTGTCTGTGTGTGTGTGTGTGTGCGTGTGCGTGAGAGACACAGAGAGTTCTCCCACACAGCGACATTTCAAGAGCAGGACTGGAGTAGAGGGGTGGATGGGCGTGGAGGGCAGCGAGCTCGGAGCCAGATGCCAGTGTCAAGCGTCGGGGAGGACAGAGCCATCCTGCTGGGCTTCACCATGATGGCCTTCTCTGTGCTCATGTTCTTTGTGGTCGGGATCACTACAGTCAAACCCTATATTAACAGGTACACTGTAGTCAGCTGATGCTACAAAGGATGTCATATGATAGACAGTACTGTGACAACAACAGTAGAAATTTTATTACACATTTGTTTATGCAAATTACGTCTGTGATTCAGCTCACAGAGAAAATGGCAGTTTATTTAGGACTGCAGCTTACTTACCTATTTTCATTACTGATTTAACTGGTGATTAGATTTTTTTATTAAATGATGAATGAAATTGCTTAGTTAAATCCATCATCACATTTGTGAAACTGGAGCCAGCAAATATCTATAGAGATGAAAAGTCACAAGGATTCATCCTCTGGGTACAATGAATGTCTGGACCAAAAGCTGCAGATTGACAGACCATCATTGGCCTAGCATGGTTAAATCAATATAAAGTTAAATCTTATGAATAAAAATACTAAAAAATACTAAAAGTCAAATTTCAGATAGTATTCATCCCATCATTTTCATCTATTTTTTTCTTTTCCTGGCAGAGATGGGCTTCCCTAAGATGTGCTACATCATGAATAAAAAAGTAAAACAAGCCCTCACATCAGAGATCTAATAAGAAACAATTATTGCCTTTCTGGTGTGAAAGCGTTTGTGAGTGCTGAAGATACAGGGGTTGGAAGCCCTGGCTTGGTTACACCAAACATTTCCTCTTGTTTTCTAGTAACTGGGTGGAGGCCAGCTGTGTTCTGCTAAAGACCGAAATCCTGGAAGAGTGGGTGGACTGCAGAGATGTGAGCACTGTGCCTTGCCTCAGGGTAAAGGTTAACCTCACAGGTTCCAATCACACGGCTTTTCTCCACTTTGACGAGGAATTGGTCCTCCTTGCTCTTGAGGTAGGGATTTAAGGCAGTAAATTCCAGGTTTTAGGTCTTACCTTAAAGCTTCATGAGCCTCTGGTTTGGATATGCTTCACAGGCATGTCTTGTCGACTGTAAGGAAGGAACACCTGCAGGATACTGGCCTGCGAGGAATGGATTTGAGCATTAAAGCTTTATGTCTATGTACTACAACTGACATGAAGGACCGCTCTGTGTATTAGATCTTAGTTTTGCTTCTCAGGACTCAGAGTCATTCTAGTTTATATATAAGCCATCTAAGCAGGGACTTGATAAAAGCACCTGAGAAAGCAGTGGAGGCAAAAAACTGCACTGAACTAGCTGACAGGATGGAAAACTAGCAGTCCTCTGATTACTGTACCCTTGTGAATAAGCCAGCAGACATTATTAGGGGATGCCCTAATGCTGCACTTCGGCTCCAAATGAAACATTTTTCAATACCAGTGCAGCACATGGAGGCTAGAAAGAGTTTTTTAACAGACAAAAAAAAGTGTCAAAAAAGAACCTTGCAACTCGTCGCACTGATTGCAATCAGCACTGCCAACTGTAACAAGCAGGTCACTTGATAAAAATGACACTTGAATCATATCTTTTCTTTCCCAGTGTTTCTATATACCCAAATGTCGAATGGACAGAGCAGAACTTCAAAAGGAAGTTGAGAAAGTGAAGAACAGCTTGGACGCTCAGCTGGAGAGGACCTCATTGTGCTTCACTGACCACACGAGGCACCCCGGGGACACAATCTTGAACAGGAAGTACACCCGTGAGAAGGCCCTGTTTGCATTGCTGTGGCCCTGTCTGATGCTGGGTGGCGGAGCTCTGTTGGTGGGCCTTGTGAAGCTGACTCAGTTCTTAGCCCATCTCTCCTCTGAGGTGTGCAGTGAGACTGCAGGGGGCAGGCTGACATCAAGACACACTCAGGGCAAACTGTACAGACTCCTCCGGAGGTCCAGCACGCAGTCTCCTTCATGACATATTCAGTGTTTGTTATGCATCAGGCCAAAAATACCTATTTTAATAATATAATGGGTACATAATGTCAACCGGGGCCAGTGGGTATAAAACATATATAAAGAATAAATGCCTACGTGGAGAGAATAGGTCGGATTATTTAAAATAAATCTTAAATCTTTAATAACAAAAATCTTAAAAACCAGCTGTGGTACATGCACAGAGGCCACACACACCTTTGCAATGAAAACGTAGTAATGGCAAATTCAAAATAAATTCATTAATCAAATTAATAACATGATTCAGTATAAATACAGTACATTTCCAACATGTTAATGTGAGTCCTCCTATAGTAAGCGCATTTATATATATTCTGAAAACAAAATGGCAGAAATTAAAAATGAAGCTTTCCCCCTTATATAAACTTGGAGGTGAACTTCTTGTTTGTTAAATCAACCTCTAAGTTCTCTTTCAGAAAACCAGAAACAACTGAGCTTGTCTATGGTTAAAATACAAAACTTTTAAAGGGCCTCAGGAGATGGTTCTCTTTAAATGGCTCCTTCTTCGACTTCTAGAGAAAGTCTTGTTTTGCTGGCCCCCAGTGCTTTAAGCAATGTGGAGTTCACTCCAGGGTGTCAGTAGCCAACACTGTGACATCACTGTTGGCTGTTGTTAGAGATACAACAGAGCACATTTCTGACTACTTTCAACCAGAGAGGGCAGTTAAGTGACTCTTTTAAGGTCCAGTGTATACTGTTTCAGAGGATCTATTAGCAGAAATATACTACTATATATATATATATATAATA